AAGCAAGGCTTTGGGCATGTTTTTTATGAGAGTACAACATTATAACATCATATAAAACTCAAAAAAAGTTGATTTTACATGATATTGCCCCTTTAAAAGATAMATTATTCAGATACTTTCTCCTCTTTCTTCATGTTTTGTTGACTCCTTACATTCCTGAGTGAAATGTTTAAAATGAAGCCCCTTCTAAATAAAATCCCTGTGAGAGTTTCGACACAAACGAGTGTTTTCCAGTTGCCGAGGGCCATTTGTGTCTAAGAAAAACAAGTTAATTAAGAGCCTTGTTCATTTGCTCCTTGACAACAACGGTGAGCATCGTTTCCTTCTTTGAGTCAAGTTTTTCAGAGCCCCTCGAACGCTCCTCGTTTGAACACAGTCTCTGGCTACCGTTGCGTAACTCTCCCATCTGCATGAGCTTCTGCTCTCCACACACTCGGTGCTCAGCAGCCCTTACCGTTCACGCTAACAAGGAGCTCCTCTTCGAGCGCTCGAAACTTTAATTTGGAAACGTAATGTTGCATTAAATTGTTCAGAAATGCAGAAACTAAATGATGTTTTGCACAACTTACCCTGTTTTTTTTTAATTGACATTTGTGAAAAACTACATTTAGGATTCTGCCCAAGTAAGATATGTGGAAAGATGTGAGAGAAGATAATGGAACTGATTTATTTATTTTTTTATAAGAGGCAGTTGTAGAGAAAAAAAGGTTAGTTTAATAAATTTAGTTTTTAATCATTTAACCTTTTTTTCTTRTGTTTACAGAAATATTTTTGATTAAATCATTCCTACATTCTTTATCTGCTTCATCTTTTTTAAGCTGGATCCAAGAGTCAAAGTGCTAACAGGTTAGCAGTCCATTACAAGRTCTTCCATATTGTGTAATTTAAAGTAGATTTTTAAAAATGACAAGTTTCCGTGATGACGATAAAGTATGTTACAGCATGTTTTTCTTCTTATAAAAGCTATAACAGCATGATATAGGCAGGAAAAAGAAAAGCCCGCAGCATGGTGGTGCGTTGATTGAATCATTGTCTAAAATGTGGCACTAGAATGCTGACATAAAAACTGAAAAACATTGCTCATCTTTCCAAGATAGGTCTTGAGTTTCCCCCTGCTTCACCTCTGCACACCCTTCCCTTCCAGCTTGGATCAGGAAAGCAGCTGGAAAACACTGGAGGCACCGAGACAATGATGCAATTTTACTACAAAACTAAGCAGCTTTAAGAAAAAAAATTGCCTTGTTTTTACTGAGTGTTTGAGATTACTAAGAGCAGTTCGTGTTRATTCATGTGCAGTTTCCAGGGAGTCTTTTGGTCTCACATTGAGGTAAGAGGTGCTGCATTAGCAGGTGGTTTTAGCCGGAGTCTATCCGACAAGCCAGCGCACGAAAGTGGCCCACATCCGTCTCCACCTCTTGACTGAGGCTTTTCATCGACGCGTTTAAGGTCCATTTAATGCCCCACATGTCCTCGCGCCCAGCGAGAGTGCGTGTCACAGTCCAGAGACGACAAAACATTGTGTTTTTCCACAGTTGTAACTCAGTACCTCAAAGGTCACCGCTCTGAGGTTCAGGTCTGGCATCCTGGGTGCGGCTGCGGCCCAGTCTGGGGAAGCGGGATGAAGTTCTGGATCGAGGCGTTTTGCTTCCACCTTCATTTGCCTGTGGTGTGTCTCTGCATGAAAGAGAAGAGCAGGAAAGAGGAGAGAAAAAACACAGTGAATATTTGGTCAAATTTATTATTCAAATTAACTACTGATGATGCAGATAGTGGCTTCATTAAAAAAATAAATAAATAAAAAGAAGTCTAGCTTTCATAAACCAGAAATACTCATTAAAGTTATTAAAGGTACAAATGCATAAAAACTGAAGCATCCATACTAATTGGCCATTATTCTTCTATTTCTGCCACAGTTCTCAATTTGCCATTTCTTATGCAACTTTGAAAAAAAACATTTGGATAATATACATTTAAATATGTTGCTTGAAGGAGAATACTTGATTATGACTTTTGGCAGTGAAGTATCATATGGTGTGGACTACATTAGCATATGGTCCTATTTATTTATTTGTTTGTTTGTTTGTTTGTTTGCACATACAACCAAATTTTGCCAGAATGAAAACCCAGCCCTTTTTGGAGCTCTGTAGCTTTGACATATTTCACAATAGAAATGTTTGCAAAAGTTACAAAAGCTGTTTAGGTTTTATGACTTTTGAAGATTTAGCTACAGACGGTTCCACTTCAAATGTGATGARGTCACACACTAACTTCTGAGCTGTCAAAACGTTTCAAAATACTTGCAAACTCCTCTAATTCCAACAAAATTGGTGCTTTTTGTACAATTATTTATACATCATAAATGCTACCATTAACGGAGCAGACTCCAGTGTGGTTCTCGCTGAAATAAGAATAATTTTTTCCCACGTCCTAACTCTTATCAACTTCTGTTGTATTTATTTATTTGTCGAGTGTATATTCCATCACAAAATGTTCTCATCAAAAGGTATTTTACTTGTTATGTCTATGCCTTTCTGTTTGCCTGTGACAAAAAGAGTGCCATCAGGGAGTGCCAGACACAAGCGTATGGCTATCATGAAAACCCTATTGAGCTACTGGTAGCAGCTCTTTTTTTGAGCTTGGTTCTCCTTACAGCTCTTACCCAGGTTCACACATCAAAATGTCGACATTTTGTCGACACAGATTATTACTAAAGTAAACCTTAAATTACTGTCGAGCTTTAGAGAAGAAAGTTAATGGATGATAAAATTTGAGGCTGATTTACAGCCTTCAAAACTTATTCAGAAATGTTCCGTTTCTATATAAAAGGCCACCTAGAAATTTACTAGCACTACATCTGTCACTTTTTGATAATAGAAAATTCAGTTTTTACTCATATTTTAAGCAGGACATCACTGGTTTTAAGTGTTTTGACAAGTGACTCCAATGAATTCAATTTAATTAAATTCAAATTCAAAAATACTTTATTGATCCCAGAGGGACAATTAGATACAAATAATGTAGAAAAAACAATAAAAAATTGTTGTGATAATTTGAACTTTGTTTTCATCTTGTGTTTGCACTCCAAAATGTTTTTTGCTAAAACTGAGAAACTTCTACAAAGGATGTGAGAGGTTATCTAGATTATACTACATAAGACATTTAGTTTTCACTAAACATCATTGCAGAAGATGGCAAAAAAATACATCTGTATTGCTTTCTAAAGCCACTGAATCCTGGTTGGGACAGAATATTTTAATTATATTTTGCAACRGGACAGCAGTTGGTAACAGGCCTTCAAAGGGCTTTATGTAAAGCTGCATCAATACAAAGTACCTGGTTAGAAATGTTGATTTTTAAAGAGTTTCATTAATTATACAGTAAATAATGATGAACTAAATGGAAATATTTACTCAGATCTGCTAATAATAAACACTATGTGATGAGAATGTATGAATATAGAAAATGACTACAAATACAGGCAGCCTCTTTGGTTTATTAGAGTTATTTGAAAGTATTTTTAATATCTAAAATAATAATTTATTATTTTCTCTTTTATGCCATAACCGTGTGAATGGATCATTACTTTCAGCTGARGTTTGTCCCACAATGATGTTAAGTTTCCCCATTTCTCTCAGAGAAGTAATTTTGTCCACTTGGTGACATCACTGCCCGGGTTACCAAGACAACCGTCTTCAGCACGTGTGAACCGTTGATCCCTGGGCCTGATAATGATGAGAATGAGCAAGAGGCACTTGTCAAAGGAAGGAAATGAAAGGCAAGGAGACTGAAAGCCTGAAGTGCCATGCTGTATTTTTTTTCTGTCAGCTSCCCTGATCTTTAACAAAAAAATAAAAAAATCACCCAAAAGACAGTGACCTCACACCGACTGCTTAGGATGAAACTATAATGTCAAAACAGTATTAAAGTCAAAGGTTTTTAATAAATGTCAAAAAATGTGAAGAGGCAGAAGACATCTGCTGATTGATGCCAAACAGGCCTCATTAGTGACGCAACCCAGCTGCAGGAGTTCTAATTAAGATTAGCTGGGACAACTGGACAGTCCCAMGTTGAGAAGTTTTATTTCCTGAACACTGTGGGCTAAAATTAAATCTTARATTGTTTTGACCAAAGAAATTACTACTTTAGATCCAGTATTAGCAAGAGCTGCAAGTTAGCTAGGCTAAAACTACAGACTTAATGTGCTGCCTCTAAAGGAGTTTCATCTGTTAATTCATAGAAATGTTTATNTAGCTAGGCTAAAACTACAGACTTAATGTGCTGCCTCTAAAGGAGTTTCATCTGTTAATTCATAGAAATGTTTCTAGTGAAATATTACAAATGTAATTTTAAACTGTTATGTGTTACAAACATTATTTGATAAGCATTTACTTAAACTGTAAAAATACTGTGGGCTGTTTAGTTTTTATAAATTAATAAAATACACCATCACACGGACGCTGTCATTTTATTAACGCCACAAAGCATACCAGGTAAATGATGGCATTCACTAGGTTTTCTGGGACAAGCTCTTAGCCACCTTGAAGGATAATCTTGGACAGTATCTGATGATCAGCCCTTTTAAATGAAACCAGAGAGGAGGATGTAGAAATGACGAAGCCTGCAACTGAAAATGCAGTTGGAGAAAAATAGAGATGTGTTTTGGATTGTAGAACCTCAGRTTAGCCAGTTAGCGTGGAGCTAATATATATGGCAATACAGCTTTAGCTCCCAAGCTAAGCTAGCTCAGGAATTAATGACATATATTTGTATTACTAATGATRATGTAGTGTTAGTTTATACATAGCTAACACTACCATACCATATGTGTGTTAGCTCGGGGGCTAACATTATATGGCCGTATATATGAAAGCTAACAGTGTGACTTTGTCCATGGTGATATCTCTCAATATCCTCTGGCTTAAACTTACCAGCAGCCAAAGTGCCATGTATTCCCACATCTCTGCCACACGAGGCTGGTTCAATTACATGCAGCCGCATGCACTCATACTGTTTGGATTTGCAAAGGTTGGCCAAACAGAGATGCAACGGGGAGTTATATCAGCAAAAATTATACTAAATTGAGGGCAGCCTGCAGAGCTGGAACTGCAAGCCGCCTCGTTTATTCATATCAAACTGGGTAAATGTGGCAAATTAATTGGGCTTATAGATTTTGTTCTGGCTCTCAGCATGTTTTTGTCCCCCGTTTGGACATTATATTGATTTGTGCAGGATAATAACTTTCCCGAGCACTGTTGGAATATTAATAATTTGAATGCTGAGGAACCTAATTAGAGTAAACAGCTAAGCAAATGTGAGTATGCATCAAAATGATTGCCTAACAGCAAAAAGTCTTGTAGTAAATGATACGATCTTAATAAGCTCCTTGCTCCCCATTTCCTTTCTGTCACACCAACAGATTTAGATAAAGTGTTGCAAACTCCACCAAAATAGGTTTCATGCTTCTTTTTCATCACAACGCCCTCGACTGTGAGACAAAAGTCTACTGAACAAGATTTTTTCTAATGCTGGGGGTCAATAAAACAAGTGTCCAGTCAGAGAGKGTGTATTTTGTGCTCTGAGGAGGAAAAAAGAAGCAGTCAGGTGGAGCTGCATACTAAGTGGTGGCAAATCTAAGAAGAGGTCTGACCATGTCACTCTTCCAGAGAAGAGAGGAAAATTTCTGCCAGACAAGTGTGGAGAGACACAATGAGTACACATCAATGGGCTGAACATCGAGCACCAACATTTTACAGCTCTGTAACTTCTGTATGTTGAACAGTAAACTTTACTTACTTCACTTGGAAAGGCTGATGTATGGAACTGAACAAGCAATGAAGTTACTGATCACTCTACTCCCCAAGCTTCTAACACAACCTGCACTTTATTTAATGGAAACCATACTCTAGGTTTAATGTTTTCACTAGGGGAGGAAATGAAAAAAAATTAATTTAATGACAGAATCTCAGAATGAAATAAGGTGAAGATTACTATTAAATACTAATATTTCACTTTTCACTTCATGACATTTATCTGAAAGGTTTAAATATGTTACTTTTTATTTAAATCAAAATTTCACCTAAGTGGAAATGGGCGAGAGATGAAAACATGGATCTGTTGGAATGCTACTACTCAAGTAARCCTAGCCAGAGGGGCTACATGCAAAGACTGTGGGAGGAATGGTTACTTCGACATCCCCAGTCGACACTAACTGCCAAACAACTAGTAGCTCAGTGTTCCAACATCCGCAAACGGCACTCAAGTTGTGAACTGCTGTCACAACTTGAGATTGACGAGGTACAACATAAGGTCAGAAGGGAGTTAACCACAACTACCCGCCCAGAGACTGGGTATGTAGCCCCAGTAATGAATGAACCATCTGAGCTGAAC